TCGGTAGTAGCAGAGTCTGTGCACCAAGCTTTAATATAAATGCACAAACCTTCACCTCTGGTCTTGCCGGAGTCCTCGGTTATCCTGTCGGCTCGGTGTGTGTGGCGTCCTGCTAACTCAATAGCATTGTCCGGGCAGCTGTTGTTTAACCATGTTTCAGTGAAAATCATGACGTTATGAGTTCATAATCCGCCTGTTGTTGGTGATGAAAAGCCGTATTTCATCCATTTTGTTTGCCAAAGAACAGACATTGGCGAGGAAAATGCTGGGTAAGGGCAGCCGATGTGGTGTAAGTTTTAACTTAGCCCGTAGTCCTCCGCGCTTACCCCACCTTCGTTTACGTTCTCGGCGCCGTCTGCATGTACTTCCGCCCGGCCTGGAGGAGTAAGCAGCCTCCGGTGTTCTGGAGATCTCTGGGATGAGTCGGAGATGGCAGCAAAACGATCGGAGTTTTGAGTACAGATGTCCAGAAGCTCCTGTCTGCTGTAGAACAGCAACACTGAGCAATTCTGGATGAATAGTCTGGTCAAAAGTGTGACGTGTGGTGACCAGAGATCCATGCACCGTTCAGTAATTCTGTCATTCGCTTATGTTACAGTAGTCTCTCTCTACTTCGAGGTTCGTTTATCGCGGTCTCGCTCTATCACGGTTTTTCAAAGTAAGATTGGACATGACACACAATTGGCTGATTGATGGATGAGCCGCACAATCGGTATGGAATTTTTTTTATTTTAAATTAAACCATTTGTCACCTGCTGCACATTTGTGCAGCCCAGAGCTGCAGAAAATCATCCTCCTGCTAGTAATGTGTGGAACAATACAAAAATATTGACTATCGATGCTGAACCTTTCACTCTAGGATTGATTCTTAAATCAAACTATCTATACTTGCCGAACGATGCTTCGGTCATTGCAGATAAAGCATATCATTAACCGGAAGATGGGGGAAAGTAACTAAACTTGAGATCTTGACCAAATAATACACGGTTGGTAGGAACTACTTTTTCTTCTGCCTGAGTAAGTGCGTAATGCATTTAAGCAGCACAGGCACGCTGTTTGTCAGTCACTCGGTCTCAGTCTGTAGACACAACGGCGGAGCTTAATAGAGTCATGTGTGGAGCTATTCAGCTTCAAAACCTGCCAAGAAGTGGTTTGTGGAAAATCTGT